CTCCATTACACGGATATCTTGATGGAAGAGTTCTCCTTGTTCCTCACTCACATCACCACAGTTCTCTGGAAAGTAGTCCAAGTGGGAGCTGAGGAAGTGCATCTTGATGGACATGCGTGCACCAAGAACTTTGTAGCTCAGAAGTAGGTCCTCAACAACTCGTTCATACTCTGGACTTCTGAAGTTGCCAAGAAAATTGGAGACAATAGACTTTAAGGCATGCCAGGCTTTTTTCTCATTTACATTCATGCTGCAATCAAACTTGGGATCTTTGAAAAGTTCTCTGATCTGAGGGCCATCAAAAATTCCTGCATTCAGCTTTGCCTCACTGACTTTTGGAAATTTTTCTTTCAGAAAATTGAAAGCCTGGCTTTTTTTGTCCAGTGCCTTTACAAAGTTTTTGAACAGACCGAGCTTGATGTGCAGTGGCGGAAGAAGAATGTTCTGCGGATTCACCAGAGCATGGGCAACAACATTGTGAGAACCTGGAGTAAGTCCACTTCTTGCAGGCCAGTCACGTTGCATGTAGTGCTGCTTGTCTGCTCGAATATCCCACAGACAGAGGAAACATGCCATGTACCACCAGATGAAAAAGAAATTTAATTGTGAAAAAATATATGTAAAAAAACATGGACATGTACTCTTTTCCTTTGCGTCACGGAGGACATTTAAATGGCCGGCGAGCACGTGGGTGTATTTAAATGCATCGTAAGGGCATTAAAACTGACCGAAATCTTTTCTGTGAGGCTTGCCAATGTCTAGGATGATTTTGTTAATGAACGAATATGAGAACCCCCATTTTGAGCGAAAAATGCCAATATTTTACCTGAATCTCCGCTTAAAATGCTATATGTTACGAGTTGGGGATTTAGAGTATAGTTAAAAGTCTACCCAGATCCCAACAGGCAACAACAATACAAAAACAAAGACAATCGGACTATAAAAGGGTAGACAAAGGATGCGAGTTTTCGTTGTGTATAATAAAGTACCATAAATTCCTTAACAAAATATTCAGCTTCCTATAAATTACCCTTAACCATACTTAACCTAAACATTAACAGCATATACATATTAATACAACATAAAACAATCGTGAAGCAAGGTGGAGGTGGGAGAGGCAATACAAGATTACAAATACTTAAGTGAGGAGCTGAGATGGCTGACGAGTAAGGATGAGTATTGAAGACGGTGGTAGGTAGTCACTGTGCCGTAGGTTTCCAGGATAGGTGATCCTGTGGTCACTTCCCAGAGTGAACTCCTCTCTCCTCGAACTGCAGCTGACAAAGAAGACTTTGAGGAGGTGACGCAACAACCAGGATATGGAGAAGGGAAACCCCGGAGTGGTAACTAAGACGAGTCATACTCGTGTTTCGTCCCTAGATGGCGTTGCTCGTGGTGCTGGGTAGGTAGATCAAGACAATAGATGGCATGGTTCGTAGTGCTGGGTAGGTAGATCATGACAATTGGTGGCGGGGTTCGTAACATATAGCACAAAATTCTGACCTGATTGAGCAAAATGGGTAACATTTTTGAGATCAGCATGCAAAATACACCCAGAAAAGCTTAATAATACACAAACCTCAAAAACTATGCAGGGCAGTGTAATCATACTCAAAACCTGTACTGGCTCACATGATTTCTTTTATTTTGCGCATCTTATACAAATATGTAACATATTTTCTTGCTCTTTGGATAATTTATGTTAAACTTGTCTTTAATCTCAAATTTGTTTTTTTCTCCTTTTCATTAGGAAATGATACTGAAACAGATACAGTAACTAGATTTACAACAGAACTTTCTTCCTGAGTTAAGGACTTTCTACTATGACGTAATCACGTTTTTACATTCAGATACTGTAATCCACATCGCATCTGGAATTTTATCATCAGCGTGAGTGATAATGACTAAGTTCTTATTTATATTTTCAGTATATGAAATTCGCTGAAAGCCTATATTTCTAGAAAATATATCGACCATAGGCCTATAGCTGACTCACTAGTACAGAGAGTCCTTTTTATTCCTTAAATTATATGCTCTTTGATATTCATCTTATTCACATTGGAAATGGAAACAAATCTTTAAAAAAAATCTAGCAATTAGTATGTTACATATTATGTAGGTTCAGAGCATTAATCCGTGTTTAGGTATGACATCTCTTTGCTCTGGTAAACATTAGCTGGAAAAAACCCTCTAATTTTTAGATGCTGATTAACCATAAAGACGATGTTCAGTAAAGCACTAACCCAATAATTATCATAAGGTTAGACATATATTATTATATGTGTCTGTTTGAAGACTCCCTCGAGTTCCTCAGACAAGAGTCAATAACCTACTATGCAAGAAGTATTCCGTCTCTGGATTACTATGCTGAGGTACTGGAAATCAAAGCTCTAGATAATGAACATTGTTGAGTGAAAACTATTTCCCGGTTTTTTTAAGGCAATTGTTTTTTTATCGTTTAGGATATATATATATAATCAGACATATTAAATTTTGAATTATCTAATGACTCTGCCGAAAGAGCTGATATGTAAACAGGAAATGTGATGTACTTGTTTTGAAAAAGGGTATTATGAGGTATTCCTTTGCACTGTAACATGTAAGACTTCCCCCATAAAATGAAAGGACCCCGAGGTAGACGAGAATCCAGTCTTTTTGGTGTAGGACCACATGGATCAAGTATGTGTACCCCACCATGTGGCCAGAATAACAAATAACGCTGGAAGCCGTTCGGTGCTCTCTGTTATCGAATACAGGCCAACAGAGCAGTACAACATTATTATTATTGTAAGTATATAATAATGATAATTGGTATGTTTTTAATGTTTGTTTGTTTTTTGTTTTATTTTCCAGGAAAGGAGCGCCCATCTACAACTTGGTTCAGTACACTGATGGCCAGGCTGGGAGACACTGGAATTATGAGCTCCTGGACTCATGACGTAATTGCCAGGCACATCAAGAAGACCAGGGATGCGGCATCTGGGGCCGCAGAAGGGGGAGCAGCCAATGACTGTAAAACAT